TGTTAATCATAATAATGACTGTCACAAAGAAAGATGGAATCACTTCTACTCTTGTATCGTGCCTAAAAAATTAATTAATGGTAAAACAGCCTGTATCAATGGGCCTGGTACCCCATACTCCTGGAGTACCCCCCACAGGAGTCCCWGAGGGACACGGTCGAACGCCTTCTCCAAGTCCACAAAACACATGTAGACTGGTTGAACTCCCATGAACCCTTCAGGACCCTGCTGAGGGTGTAGAGCTGGTCCACTGTTCCACGACCAGGACCAAAACCACACTGTTCTTCAGTTCCAGGTGAACCAGCAGGTCTGACTCTGAACCTGAAGGATCAGACTGGTGGTGATACTGATTCCTTCAAGGCAGGCCAGGCCTTCAGCTGTAACCGTTCAGCTGGTTGCCCACTCAGCACAATGTGTGGGTTCCTCTGTTAGGAACTGATGCTGCCTGCAGCAATGAGGAGGACAGTGATGTCCCAGAGACAAGGAGAGACATCCCAATTACCTCTGTCTCTCTGTGATAGGATGTGAGTCTGCCGCTCACACGTAGTTTATCATTTTATTTATTTCATCCTAAAATATAATCTCACAACGCTTGAACCCAGCGCCGTCTGCCTCAGAGAGAATCAGAGCAGCTCTTTTGAATATTAATTCATGGTGTAAAAGTTCCTGCTACATATTTCACTGCTCTGTCATCTTTCTCTAGAAACTAAACTTTCTCTAAAAAACTCAACTTCGTAGTTCGACTAATAGACTTGGGCAAACAGCAGCTACTTCAGGTGGTAAATAAAGCYGTCTGTTTCACAGTAATGTGTTTTATGTTTAATATTTATGCTTGACATCATGTTGAACGGTAAATTCTGTTAAAGGAACTCCTGTCGGTGTTGCTCATAGGTTTATATGTATGTCCACCATTGTTGTTGAGAAAGTTTTCTTTATTCAAAAACATCTGTCTAATAAAATGGCCGAGCAGCCTAGGCACGCTAATTGCTAGCCTCTCCAATTCTAACACCAGCTTATCCATGCTAGTCGCTAGCCTCTCTGATGCTAACACCAGCTTATCCATGCTAGTCGCTAGCCTCTTTGATGCTAACGCCAGCTTATCCATGCTAGTCGCTCGCCTCTTTGATGCTAACGCCAGCTTATCTATGCTAGTCACTAGCCTCTTTGGTGCTAATGCCAGCTTATCCATGCTAGTTGCTAGCCTCTTTGATGCTAACACCAGCTTATCCATGCTAATCGCTAGCCTCTTTGATGCTAATGCCAGCTTATCCATGCTAGTCGCTAGCTTCTCTGATGCTAACACCAGCTTATCCATGCTAATCGCTAGCCTCTTTGATGCTAACATCAGCTTATCCATGCTAGTCACTAGCCTCTCCGATGCTAGCACCAGCTTATCCATGCTAGTCGCTA